GTCAACAAATTCTCAAAGTGAGTCAACCTTGTTGTGTGATCATTTTCACTGGTGAAATCAGAGGCTATTACCAGAAAGCTTCTGGTTACAACCTGGTGAGCTCTCATAATTAACAATCTAGTTTTACTTATATACATACATATATACTAATTAGTGCCAGATTATTTCAAACCACAGGTGAGATCTACAGTATTCCAGGATTCTAATTCCTCAGTTCTTGCCTGTTTGCCTGACCTGATCTGATCTGTCCCTGTTTCTGAGCCTGCCGGATCCTTGTCTAACCTGACTGCCTGCTTGTTTGGCCTGATTCTGATCTGTTTGTCTGCCTGCCTATTGCAGAGCCTGGAACTGTTTCCCAACCTCGTCCTGGATTTCCCTCTGGCTCTTCATTGGACTTCTGATCACCTGGCTCTGACCCTGGACTTCGCCCCCGACTATAGATTCTGGTTGTCCTCCTGTTCCTCCTGCCTACTATTACCTGATCACCGATCATCATAATCCAGCAGGAGTTATTTTCTGGGACTTCCTGGCCAGTGATGGCAGTATCAGTACTACAACTCGAGCCTAAATCCTGTGTTGCACTTTGTTGATCTAGCCAGCGTATGCCCGACTTAAGAAAAATCTTGCAAAAACACTGCCCTATGTTGGATAAGTTATGGGTCAGTTTTGTATAAGTTATGAGCACAGTGTAGCACGCTAAGGCACGGCGGCACTCATCGACATACAGCAAGTACGTCGAGAAATTTTGAACACTCACAAATTTTCCCTACGTATGCCAGCGGATAAGTTGCAGGTAAGTTATTTGATCATTGACTTACGTTAAGTGTAAGTTACTCATAAGTCGTGGTGTCTAGCTTATCCAAAGCCTATCAGTAATTTGTGCACAACTTATGCGTAACTATCTAGAACTTATCTCCAACACATATCAACGTATAGCATCTGCTGGCAGGCATCAGCAAACCCTCTTTTTTTTCTTTTTTTACATTTATTTATTTATTCTTTTTTTTTGGCATGTGGTAAACAGCAGCTAGGTTAACCCTGAATAGTCTGGCCCATAAAATAATTGACAGAAAATAAAAATAAAAAAATAATTCAAGTTGTCTTTGAACTTTCTGACCAATGAGATGAAAAACATAAATTTTTACAAGTTAAATTAGATAATTTATTTGCTTCAATGTTAATTCATTATGCATTTTTGCATAATCTTTTATACATGATCTCTTTGCTAGATTTGCCTCATTGTGTAAGTCAAGATTTTTAAGAACGAATATATCACACTGCAGAAGTCTTAAAAAACTCATGTACCGAATATGATACCCTTGAATTTAAAGGGCTAATACAGCGATCAAATAAATCTTTATTCAGACCAGGCGCATTGCTGCCCCCCTCAGGACACATTTCATGGCCATTATGCTGCCGTGCGTTATGCATAAGCTAGACTGTCATTGGAAATAAGTTCTGGACTCATTATTAATACTCTATGTATACACCCAAATTTGAAAAAAATATAGAGAATGTTCAGCGTATGCCAGCCTTTTAGAACATTCTGGGACATCAGGCATAGGCTGGCTAAATTGTCAAGGTGTGACAGGGACTTAACCTCGTGATTATTCCCAGACTGAGGACTAAGAGAAGGTTAGTGACATTACGTTTCTGATTGATGCACATCATAAAGGTAACCTCATCACCAATCTTCTGTGACAAGGTCCAGAGGTTCCTGCCCTAGTCGCTGACACCACCTGCTGCAGATTTGCTTCAATAAACTGTGTTAAGCTCTCACACTGGTTGTCTGGTTTGAATTCTGGGTCCATCTGTTTTGATAATTACATCATGAACTAAAAAAATCTTCTTTTTTTTTCAGAGAAACCTATTTGGGACAACTGTGATTAACCTGAATAATTATTGATATTTTAGAACTGAACAAAAGGGTGGATTTTTTTATATCAGCTTCTGTGTCAACATCCTCTTTTTGAGACAAAACAATATTGTTTTCTGCAAAAAATAAAAAGCTAAGACACATCAGAAAAACACTGCACAACACTAACACTAAAGGAATTTCATAAATAAAGCTGAGATCTACATGTTTTTTTCAAAAACTATTACACACTTTTATTCAACCATTTTGAATATAAAAAAAAATCACAGACCCTCGTATTGCCATCTTTTTCATTCATTTCATAAAGTATTCCTTGCTTGTTCAATTTTGCCCAATTTAGTCAGTTTTTGGTAAAACACCAACCTTTGATAATAGTTCTTAAAACATTTGTCTAAAAGATTTGCAGGGAAATATATTTTAGACCTATAAAACTATTGAAAGAACTGAGTGTGAATTAAAACAATAATCATATTTCAAATTCCTTTTTTGAGACAAAAATATGCTTTGCAGATAGTTGTAACCGAGACTCACATTATAGGAAGAGGTGCATGACATCTTTGTGTGCAAAAATAGATATTTTTTTTTGTAAAAATAGATATTTTCAAAAATAAATATATATTAAATGCATAGACACTGATGGCAGTGAAAAAAAGAGCAAGCACATTTACGGCTACTATCATCTACGGAGGAAATGTCGGGATGCTAAAGGCAGTGAGGAGAAAAAGACAGATTTGTCCTCTCCATTGGAAACACTTTGCCCCGGGATTACGAAATAATTGGAATCTTGGATTCAAAGGAAGGAGAAACCCAAACCTGAGGGAAAATGTAAGAAAGCAGTTTATGTCACAGCAAGGACAAATATACTGACCATGGAGAGAACAGCTTGCTCATTAAAGAGACTGCAGCTGTAGCCTCAGAAAGTTTATTGGAAAAAGAAAATACTTTCTTCTACAGAATGTGTCACAAATCGGTATAAAACTGTTATGTCTGCAGCGTAATCTTTACATTTTGGGGATCTAACAAACCAATACCCTACAAATTCAGAAATTCCCCATAGCAAACCCAGTCTGCCTGTAATTCATCCCAGGGATGTGTGACTCTTTCAAACAGAAACTATAGTAGTCTTGATAGTTGTTGCTCTATTGTTTCTGTCTCCCATATATAGTCCTTCTCTCCAGTCCATCAGTGCTGGTTTCTCCTCATTATCTACTCCTCATGTGTGATTTCCTTTTTTGTTTTTTGTTTTGTTTTCATGTTTATTGTTTTTGGATTTGTGCTTCTGTTGCCATTTGTTGCTTCATTAAATCAGCAATACTCATCTCTGCCTCCTCATCTCTGCATTTGGGTCCTCAACCCAGGGGTGCCTTAAGGGGGTGAAAAAGTTAGGAGGATTCCTTGACTGAGGCGGCCCCAAAAGTAGAACAAACTTGTCCAGGTATATTTTTTTCAAATGTAAAAAGAAAATCCAGCAGTGAAATATATTGTCTTTTATGTTCTCACAAAGATAATTTATGAGACCCCCCACCCCCATGAAATTCCAATAAATGGTTTGGTCCTTAGGTCCTGCATGCTGCAAAAGATCCCCCTGTCTGTCACCGGCATGATATCAGCAGTTTGCTCGTACAGGGGCTACCTACGCATCATTTGACGTCGTTATACAAAAATTAAACAAATAAAAAAAAAAAAATAAATAAGCAACAGTGCGGAAGAAAACATCCGCAGCTGAAAAATGCAGCAGAGGGACAGAGACAGGCCACATTGTACCAGTACAGAGACTGAGGGAATTAATCTCTTTTTAACATTTTCTATATATACAAAAACATTGTAAAAAAATATATATAATTTTTTATACATAATAATCACTATAAAATGAAATTGCTTCCAGTTGTTTATACTGTATCCTGTACAGGATTTTAAATTAAAATTTAAACTATTACAAGACATCTATATATTTTTATCATTCTCATGAGCAGCCTGAAACAGCCACACCAAAAACACATTTTTATTGTCAAATGTAAATGTAATTAAATTAATGAAAAATAGTTCTCGGGGCCAGCATCAAAATAACATGTCCTTCAATAAAGTTATAGTGAAACCTAACAGTAATATATCTTCATAATCTAAAACCTATATTCTATTCATGTGTGCATAGCTACAACTGTTCTTTTTGTTTTAAATAAGCTTTTATTATTTTGATAGGATGATTTTTATTGTAAAGTTTAAAGTTAATGTTTATTTAACTTTTTCTAGGCCAAATCTTTCATGAGGTCCCAAATTTCTGGCAGCACCCCTGCCTCAACCAACCTCCACCCTACACGGACAACATCCTAACAATATCTGCAGTGCATTTCTCCACAATATTCTTTTGTTCCCCAAAAGGTTCATTAGAGCAGCTTCTAGAAATGTGATAGATTTTTCACTTATTAATAGCAATAGAAATATTCACTTCATAAAATCCATTTTGTGCCTTGAACTTTTTGGTTTGACATCGTTTTATATGTAAATACCATTTTGATGTAACTAACACAGCAAGGAATGAGCCACACATCAGTTTCAAGGTATACCATTATTTTAAACAGTTTTAAACCGCTTAGAACTTTCTTAAATTCAGTGATTATATTTTTATTTGCAGATATTACACTATGAAAACCTCACAAAGGTAATTTGCTTAATTTTTCCATATTTTTTTTCCAAATAATTCTCTGTTTTAATTTTTAAATATATATATACTATTTATGCCCACGGCGTATCTAAAAAGGAAAGGTCCACCTCTTTTTGTACCACTATTTTTCAACCACTCCAAGGCCTTAGTTGTAGTCAGCCGAGCTATAACAGACATTTCTTTGCACCTTTTACAGCATCACTGAATGAAGTCACCACATCTGTTACTCTATCTGGCCTGTAATGGACAACAATTACTTAATGTAGCTTTAAATAGAAGCCAAACTCAATTTCCAATCACACCACTACTGTCATTATTCAGCAAATAACTCTCCCTATCTTTCCAGACAATTTAAATCTTTCCACTGGATGTGAGCAAGACAAATGCACACCTCGTTGTGTTTATGGGTTCACGGGTGTCTGATTGTATCTGGGTATGTACTGTACGTGTATGTGTGTGTACCATGCGACTGGTCCTCCATGTGTCCCAGAGTTTCGATCTGCTCCACCAGGTCATTCGAGTTCCACTGACTCATACCCAGCAGAATGGCGCTCTTTCCCTCCATAACATCTGCTGGGACACACACAAACACATGGAGTACACACTTAAACAAAGGCAGAAAATGGGAGGCAAAAACCCACTTCTCATGCATGGATGCTATATCACCAAAACAAAGAGCTTTTTTTGTTGAAAATAAATAAGATTTTTGATTTTATCTCAAGTGTTGAAGCATAATTCACACATTCAAAGAAGAGAACAAAAACACCTAGGTATTCTATTTAAATGTGACCAGACTGAGAAGCACTGGTTGTTCATGCCCAGTGCAAACACAGACTGACATGTAGCAGGAAAATAAAGGCCACATGGTGGAGGATGAAGATGACAGGGCAAATAACAAGGCGTGGCAACCATGCAGTGTATTTCATATGGTTCATGATGGCAGGAAACAAGTCAGACAGCTATTGTGCTGCCAATGCATCACTGACATTTTGGCAGGAATGGTGTTTACACAGACGGAGGGCACCTTTACTGCAGAATGTTACTATATATTCTTTTTCCCTTCTGTTTCAAGTATATCATTATATAAAACACTACTCTTTCAGACTGCTGGTTGATGACTTGAAAATCAAAAATTAATATTTTGAGATGTGTCTGTTATATGCTTTAAATAATTAAATAACTGCTTCCTTCTAGGATTTTCTGAGGCAAGTCAGGCCAAAAATAAAGATCTGGCTGATCCAATCCAATATCAGTGTTTGACCCTGTACTATTGTTCTTTTTTATGTCAGACAATAAATTGAGGCCATGAAAGCATGCATCCATCCATCTATTTTCCGTCACGCTTATCACCGCTGGGGTCACGAGGGGGGCTCGTGTCTATCTCCAGTTGTCAATGGGCGAGAGGCGGGGTACAACCCGGAGAGGTCACCAGTCCATCGCAGGGCAACACAGAGACAAACAGGACAAGCAACCATTCATGCACACAAGAACAATTTAGAGAAGCCAATTAACCTAACAGTCATATTTTTGGACTGTGGGACGACGCTGGAGTACCCGGAGAGAACCCATGCATGCACAGGGAGAACATGCAAACTCCATGCAGAAAAAGCCCAGGGTCACTGTACAGCCCTTGGCCATGAAACCACCGACCAATTATTAGTAAATTGTCCTGTGTTGCCCTTGTTGTATGTGATAGCTTTGCATACTTTATATCTGTTAAGTTGAAGTTAAAAAATGTTGCATACATTGATAGAACATTTACATAGTAATAATAGTATTTACAAAATGGTAGGAAATAAAAAAAATGTTTTGTGTTGAAGAGCAGCTTGTTACTAAAGCAAAGCGTAGTGCACAATCAACGTTATATAGAGGGAGAATAAATCATTAAAGAATGTACACTTCTATGAAGGTACCCTTCTACTAAGAAATATTGGATGTGGATATAACAACAATTTAGACTTCCATAAAAAAAACTGCAACTACCATAATGGTATGCTGTCCCTTTTAACAGCTGTTTGAATTTAGCAGCTCAGTAGCTGACAAATACAGGAACATGTCATAAAAACATTCTGGCACACAGCATGTAATTATCGGTATTATACTGTAATTAAATTTCTGTAAAGTGAGATATGCTATCATTTTGCCCATGTATGAAGTAAAGTCTAATAACACCTTTGAGGCTATCTATAAAACAATATTTACACCTCACACACAATGTGAACAAAACCAATAAGGCAAAGCAGCTCACTGATAAATCCTCTAACCTGTTCAAAGAATAAATAAAAAAAAACTGAGGTGTATAGATTTAAAAAGCATAATCCTATTAAGACTGATCCAAATAGAAATCAAACAGAGAAAACAAAGCACATGGTGTTGATATAACAGTGGTTTATCCACTTTTCAGTTTCTGTGTGCTCTGCCAAGCACTGACTTCTGGTTAAAGAAAAACACAGGCAGTTTATTTTTTCTCTTTAATCTGGGATACTCCATCATGTCGCAGTTTTATCAGAAATTAAGCAACACAAAAAGTTTGATATGCACAAACATGACAAAATAACTGCTACTGTTAATCAACTCAAACTCATATAAAGAACAGGGTGAATGATTAAAAAGTGCTCCTTTGGGTTTTCAGAGTGTTATCTTCATATTTAAGACATTTCCTAACTTTCTTTTAATTAATTTCTCTTCATTCATGTTCTGTTTAAAAGTTGCTGTTTGCATCGCTCATACAAGCTTAATTTCCATAAGAAGATTTTTAATTTTTCCACTATGTCAGACTCGCCACCGGTAAGTGAAAATTAGGACGAGCACGTAGGACAGCCCTATGTAAAGATTTCACCAGAATGATTGACAATTAGGAGGACCGCTTATTTTGATGATCCATCCGGAAAAAGAACATCCTCCACTATACCCTTAAGGGTTAAAAAATATCTAAAAAAAATTATATAAGCCCCAACCCCTTAAAAAAAACCACAGAGGTAAATACAAAATATAGTATCTTAATTAAAGGTTCTTATTATCAAGTCAAAAAAATATATATAAGTGTTGCACCAATACCAGTATCAGGCGGGGCCCCGATACAGCACTAAAATGGTGGTATCGGTATCGGTGAGTACCAACAAATAGGGCATCGATACCATTTTGAGAGCAAAAAGTTTATTCAACTATTGTCTCCAATTCCAGGTAGGCAATAAAAAGTTCTACTGGATTCACTTTGTATAAGTCTTTTTCCTGCTTCACAAAGGTAGGCAGCAGCGTGACAAAGCCATGATGGCAATTATTTTACACCCAAGTAGTATGCAGTTCTTCAAATACACACATACATCAATTTCAAACAGATGGTATCAGGATGGTATCGGTATCAGCTGATACTGCACAGCCAGGCATTTGGTATCGGTATCGCGGCCAGACAATGGAATCGGTGCAACACAAAAAAAATCCAAATCTACTTAACCCTGTGTAAAAAAAAAAATCATTTTACCCTTTTTGTTAAAAAATGATGGCGGTTTATCACATCTGAGTTCACTTTCTCTAGCCAGACCCAGGCTTGATTACTGCCACACCTGGTTTTAATCAAGAAATCACTTAAATACGACCTGCCAGGTCAAAGGAGTAAAAAACAAGTGAGATGTGTCTGTCTGGAATGGGTTACAAAGCAATTTCTTAATTTTTCAGACACCCCCTCCCACAACTACATCCAAAGACAAGCAGACCTCACTTTCCTCACATAAGGTCAGTGTTCATGCCTCTAACATCCAAAAAAGACCGGGTATAAATGGCCTGCATGGCAGAGATCCAAGATAAAAAACAACAACATTAATTTTCCAGAGCACATCTTGATCCTCAAGGATAAAATTCTCTTTCGGAAGGTGAAACAAAAATTGAACTTTAAGTGAACTGTGTTGCATTACATCTAAAGTAAAACTTACTATGTTTCAGAAAAAAGAACTTCATATCAAGAATCAAATATAGTGTAGGTGTGATGGTCTGGCACTGTTTTGCTGCCTTAGTAGCTAAAAGACCTGCTTTGATAAATGGAGCCATGAATTATGCTGTCTACCAATAAATCCTAAAGGAGAATGTCCGGCCTCTAACTGATAAAAACTTGGTTTCTGCTTCAGGATAATGACACAAAACCTGAATCTGAAATCTATTGAGATGTGTCATTACCTAAATGGGCTCTTCATGCTGGAAAACCCTCCAACTGGCTTAATTACAACAATTCTGAAAAAGACTTGTTGCAAGATATCACAAACGCTTGTTTGAGGCTGTTGCTGATAAAGGGGTCCAGCATGTTATTAGGTTTAGGGGGCAATCACTTTTTAGTACAGTGCTATGTTGGTTAGACAAGTAAATATAAATAGCGCAAACCCTTTTTCACACCACACCCTATTTTTTCACCAACTCATTTCATTAAGTGTTTTAAGTGTTTGTTTTCCTAATACCTTTTCTGTCCATCAGACGGGTGGCGCTTCCAGCTACATTGCAGGTGAGGGCAGGAAGTTATATTTTGCTTTAAAAACATCTGCTTGGCCCTAAAAAACTTTTTGAATTACATAACACAAGACATTTGACTTGATTTGACTTTGAAATAATAAATTTGGAGTCCATTAAAAAAAAACAACAACACAAAACAAGGCTGCTATTGAATTCACAGTGGTGGTTTTAGAGAAGCAGAGGCTCGCATCAGATTCAGATCAGAGTTAGAGCTCCCTGTACACCGCCTGATATGGAGGTTTGATGTTTATAGCTGTATCTTACATATAATGTTTTGTGATGGATAATTGGCTACAGGTAGGTGAACATAAAACTACTTTAGGTAAATGTTAACAACCAGTAGCAGGAGAGATGACTTGTGGTCAGACTGTTGACTTATGTATGCATTCTTTTGACTGTATTTGTTGTTTACTCTTCTGGAAAATGAGGTTGACCTTTAACCTTCATCCTCTTCAACTGGACTGGTCTTGCCGCAGTTTCATTTTTTTTACTTAAAGTCTCCAGAAGATCATTGTTTCTCTTTCCATCAGATTTTTTGGAGTTCCTTTGACAGTGTTTCCACAAGGCTATTCTGCCATAACTTCATCAGCTTCCAAGCTGGATAATCAGAAGCAGCAGTTAGTACATGTCTTGTTACAAAAAATATTTCCTGTAAACTCAGTGGAGGTACAACAAGTGCCTTACTCAAAATGCATTTGTGGTGGCTGACAATGAGAAGCAACAATAGGGAGTTTGCTAGAGGCTACCCTGTCTGTGCTCCAAGGCACATCCAGGCTTCTCTCCCTTCCATTTATCTGGATGACCATGGTCAGTAATGGCAATGCTTTTTGGGACAGCATAGCCACCTTTCAATGTTAACACCAGTATCAAAACAATAAAGATCCTATTTTCTCCTCAGGGTTGACTGTGTAACTCCTTCTAAACATGTTTCTGCCGTAGGGACTAAAGCTCTCTGGCTGCAATTTTTTTTGTGTGTGTCTGAAATCAGTGAAATTGCAATATCCTGATAATCTTACTGTAACGCAACATCTAACAAGAAATATTTTACTGAGTGCAAACAATCAAATTTGATATTT